TGTTTGCACGTTGTTGGGGGGCGAAATCTGTCTTAAGGATATTTGCTTTGGCATACCTCGCTTCATCTTCTTTTACCATTTTTCCTGCTTTTTTATTTGTTCTTTCGATTGGGATAGTCGAATTTCCGACAACAAAAACAACAATTGGTTTAATGAAGCTAATGTTGTCTGGGACCCTAACAACCTATTTGTAGCTTCGGTTGTTATATGACAAAGCATTAGAAAAATTCTAGTCTTTATAAATAAACCATGGTAACTAAATTCTTTTTTGACTTTATGATTAAATTTGTGTTGGATTATTTCATGTTTAATCATACTAATTTTCTTAATTTTGATTTGTTCAGGGCTATGTTTGAAATAAGTTCACCCTTTGACACCAAGTTTACTAGAGAATTAATCTAGTTTCTGGAATAATTTTTCGGGAAATTTGTAGTGTTGTTATTCAACCTATTTATTTGCACTTGAAGGAAATTTTCCAACAGGAGCTTCTTAATAGTATTCCATACTCTTCAGGTCCATTTGACAGGCAAATGTGGAAAGAAATTTCAATTCCATGTTAGTTAAAAAATAAAAGCTCAACAAATCCATATGAATTCGTTTTCCATAAAAATAAAGAAAATGCAGTTTCAAGTGATTGTACCTTGAAATTCGATTTTCATTTCCACGTTGTAATTAAAAGCCTAAGTAAAATTTGTTTTCTTCGAAAATGTGACATTTTCTATAGAAAATGTGACAATCAAACGGGGCATATTCGAGACAATATTGTCACCACCATACTAAAAAGGTTGACTTTTCACCGGTCACATAAATGAATTCATCATTGGGATAAACGATAATGCAAAACCCTTAGGAAGTTGGCAGCCATTAATGCATCGATAAGGTTGAATCGGTCTTGAAATTTTGGTGACCTCATGTCAAACTTTATATGGACCTTTAATAAATAGTTAAAATATGGAGTAATGCTATTCATTCTCACTGAGAATGAAAATACAGTCTATGTGACGTTAATGTGGCATTAAATGATAAATCACCTTTCATTTAACCTATCATTTAAGGCCACCTAAACTGTGTTTTTATTCCACTGAGGATGAATAACATTACTCTAAAATATATTACATGCAATGGTTAAAAATTACATGATTAATAGTTGAGGGTAGGCGTGATTTGTGATGTTTGGAGATAGAGCGACAATCATTGTGTTTTGAGTCGAAAGAAAATTTTGCGATTATAAAAAAAATATTTCAAGTGTTGCTTGACGCCCGCGAAGAAAATGGGTCTCTTGCTACTGATTTTATTCAATTCTCGTTGTCGCCTGCATCTTGCAACGATCATCTTGAATAAAGATTTATCATTTGATGTTTAAAATACCAAAAAAAGGCCATTTAGATGATGAAAAGTAAAGATTAAGATCGACTTTACTTGACACTATAACTGACTTTCATCACTAGAAAGATTCATATAGCGTGTTTTACAAGCCGTTATTTTGTGGGGACATATTAATGATAAAAATTTCACACCGATTAAATATAAATATACTAATTAATGTATAAAGGTTTGTGTTATTATACTGTTTTACGATAGGAACTTAAGTCTTAAGAACAAAAATAAATTTTTTTTGAATAGTGCTATTTATCATTATAATGATGGAATATCGGTGATGTGACAACTTAGGAGGAATAATGTGATATGATAGTTCAATCCCCCCATCTCTCATATTCTATCATTATAATGATAAATAGTATTACTTTTTTTTTTTTTAAGAATTAAATCAAGATTCTTCCAATTGACGTAATCTCCCAATACATTTCAATGTGAACATCGTTCGTTTTTATGCTTTTATATGTTCTTATGTTTCTACACGATTGTAAGGCAGTGCAAACGTTTCTATTTCAGGACTATTGTTAAGCAAAATTCCAAGTATAATCTACCTATATAGACTTGTTCAGCCTAGCTTAAAGTTAAATAGTTTGTGTACACACCCTTTTGGCAACGCCAAGAGTAGGTGAAATTATCCCTTTGTTTCCTTCTTCAAGACTCCCCTAACCTATCCAAATTGATAATGAGCCTAGAAAATTACTCATGACAAGGGTACGTTATATTTAGAATCGAATTTTTTATCGACTACCAATATATTAAATTGTCTCTTTCAAAAGGTTATTATAAAGGAGAAACATTCGTCTCATTGACAACTTTTAAAAATGTACATCTCACGTCTTTATTCTTGATAGTTACTTTATCGGAAATGTATTAGGCTTGCCTATGCTATTTGCATAGTCTATGTTGTCTCTAGCTTCTCTCAGTTTCCTAGTTTCCTCCTTACAGGCCATCCAATTTGACTCTTTCAAATACCAGAACAACATATTTATATATTGTAATTACATGATTACTTTGTCTTCTGATAGATACAGATTTTGGGTTTTTCGACGATACAAACAAGAAGGCCTGCATTAGTGATATCAAAATTATATTATGATTAACGCTTACATAACTGTGTTTGGAATTTAGCTGTGTGTCTACTTGTGATGCTGGTAGATGCCTCCTCTTCATGTCAATAATATAAGGAATTATTCCTTCTCGATCTTGAAGTTTTCAAGGAAGTAAGCGTAAGTTTTTCAAGTTTATTATAAAACATTAGGAGGAGTAAGAACGAATAGCTAGCTACATGAAGCAGGACCCAAGAAGTGATCAAGGCGTGCGCAGCAGAAAAAAGACATCAAGGGGGCACCACAAGTTTGTGGGCGTCCGCCAAAGACCATCGGGAAGATGGGTGGCTGAAATCAAAGACTCCGTACAAAAGGTAAGGCTTTGGCTCGGGACTTTTGACACAGCAGAAGACGCAGCACGAGCCTATGATAATGCTGCTCGTCAACTCAGAGGTGCGAACGCTCGCACCAACTTTGAATTGCCAACGGATTCTAGTATGCTTGAGAATTCCGAGCCTTTTTCTTTTGATGAAATGTGTAGAACAGAAGAGCCTGAAGGACTAATTGGTGCACTCAAGGCAAAGCTTTTTAAACAAAAAGGCTCCCACATGCTCAATCAAGACAGTTTGTCTTCTAACATGCAATTTAGCTTTCCCGGAATTTCTCTTCCAAATTCGTTGAAAAGTAGACAATCATCTGCCACAATGCCTGCTATCAATCCAATTCTACCTTGTAGTGCACCTGGAGCAGCTGCTATATCTACTCAGTTACCACCAGCTCATCATCATCATCATAATCATAGGCATGATCAAACTGAATCCATCGGAGTGGAAGAGTGTCAATTAGGCACGGCTCCGGGATGGCCTACTGAGAACAAATTTACATGGACATCAGAAATGAGTCTTGTACATGAGGATCCCTCCTTGATCAATACTGCCAAAAATGGTGCATGGCCAGCATCGCACATAAATCAAGCTGCTCCAGATTTGTCTTACATGAGTAATCCCTTAGGCGAATTGCTTAGAAATGAGAAGAGAAAAGTGGATA